CTAATAAACAAATAAATAAATATTTCTGTAAAATTAATATTTTAATAAATTAACATATTAGTAAAAGTACAATGAAATTATTTTATTTCCCGTAAACAAGCAGATCAAATCACACGTAAACAACGACGACTTTATATGAAACGTGCTTCAAACTGTGCTAAATAAATTAAAAGAATGGATGGATTACACATCTGCAACAAACATTTGAGAGCTGAGACCGAGTTGTTTGTTTCAGTAATTCAAGTCTTTCAACTGCTGAACAATGTGTTTAAAGCTCTTACATTCTGTTACAGCCATTTTAATATAATTTGTATTTCAAGTTATACAAGAATGCGTCAAATTTTACTGTTAAGTTTTTTGAAAAAATTAATTTTAAAAGAATCTGCGATGAAATATATCAACAAGTGTTTAATTGAATACCAGCAACCAATCTGTGCAGTGAATACATGAACTAGAAGAAAATCTGACTCACAACAAAAAGAAAATTAAAAAAATCACCAACTAAATATAAATAAAATTGTGGTTTTAAAAAGTTTAAAATTATGTGCCGATGTTTTAATAATGCAATTTTTAAATAAAAAATAAATAAAACTAATAAAACAAAAAATAATGAAATATTTAATAAAAATCAAATGAAATCTTAACGAATACCACAGATTTCCTAGCAACATTTGCATCACATCCGTTACGATCGTATGACGAAGGCGCGAGTCGAATCGTTAACGAAAAACAAAAAATAAGAAATCAAAAAAATATATAATAAATTATGCATTAAAAATATCATTATGTCAGAAAATATGCCCAAGAAATAAAACAATACTCAGAGAGTTGATGGCATTCCTATCATTCAAGAGCCGATATTTAACTTCCAAATTATATTCCTCTATACATGAAAAAAATAGTTCTGTTTAGTTGCCCCGCAACACACCTTGGTCCATGTGCAGTATTCTGAAAGTTTACATAAGAAATAACAATAAGTTAGAAAATGTTATAATAATTTACAATAAATCACAATAATAAGTTACAATAAATTACAATAAAAAACTGAAAACCAACAAATGTATATAACAATGAATGAATGACCTGTCACAACTGGCAGTTGAAGACATGCGGTGTGCTATGATGATGACGGTACAATCTTTGAACTCCCTGCTGATCGTCGATTGAATTAATTTGTCCGTCTCAAAGTCAACGGCTGGTGTTGTGGTTTGTTAGGACGAAATTAAGTATTTACAACATAAATCAAATTGAAAAGAAGCGACATACATTGAATTGATCTATTAAATGTTAGTGAAACAAAATAAACCGACTTTTTAACTTAAAATTTATACAGGACCTCGAAAAAAAATTATCAAACCTAGAGTTGCTTACATTTCTAATACATTCTGTTAATTTAGCGGAACAAACAAACATGTAACGATATTGAAAAACTAAAAATATTTTAGTAGCAAGTAACATTTGTAACCACAACTACGTTTAGAAAGATTAAACTTCCAATTTAAGATCTCTAACCCGCGGTAGCTTCGTCCAAGATGAGGATTGAAGTTTTGTGGAGCAGAGTTCGAGCCAGGCACAGAAGCTGACGCTGGCCAACACTTTATGGGACAGTAATATGGAGTAATCATAAAAAAATCATTTGATGCTTTTTAAATAGTCATTTCAACAAATGAATCTTAATATTTTTTAAAAAGTAAATTAGATTTATAAGCAAACATCTAGGCATATAAACAAGTTGACATTTTTAACGGATTTTAAAACAAGCTAAAACATTTTCTACACAAGCCTAAATTGTCATCAAATGTAAATTCAAACCAAAAGCATTTCGTAAAACTACAGAAGACATTGAACTCTTGTAACCCCACCTAAAATTGTTACCATTGGCTTCGCAAAAGAAATCGAGTTGACCGGGCAGCGACTTGATGACATGAAGCAAACTGACCTGCTCCAGTGATTTCCAGATAACTGCATCACTCCCCTTATGCTCAGATGTCGGATCGAGGTTCATTCTTATCGTGTCACTGAATATGAACGGGTCCTGCGTTGAAATTTCGTAAAAACAAAATTATAATAAATTTTCTGAATTATTTCATTATTATTTATTGTCGCTGTCTTATTTAAACATTTGAAAACTGGCAGATTGTATTTTAAACAAGACACGTTTGTCAACAACCATCAACCAGTGCAGCCATTTCAATGTAGAAAACACAAGAGAGCACAACAACAGAGGCAGCTCGATTTCGAATGATAACTATGAAGTTATTGACTTATCAGGTAAGGCTCATGGAAGAAACTTTCAACAATCCAAAGGCAAATGAATGAACGCATGCGTCGATGTCTTAAGAAAGTCATTGTTTGAGAGTTAAATAATTGGAATCGGAGTTGATTGATAGCAACATGCTTTTGACAACAAGCAAAAGGTCATTTAATTCATTCTAATTAAATTTATTTTAAAAAAACAGTAAGATTATCTTAAGATATTATACAAACTTGACTTACGTAATCAAGTTATGTTTTGAAAAGGTGGAAGCCAATTCAATTTAAAAATAAAATATCAGATAAAAATAATTTTTACTTGTGACAGAACGGTAATGTTGGATCTCAAAACTTTCAAAGGCAACTTGGAAATGTCATAATTATCTATGTAGATGGAACCTTCAGACTGACTGAAACGGAAGAGAGCTGAGATCAAAGAACTCTTGCCAGCCCCTGTACGACCCATGATGCCAACCTGCATGTGAGGCATCCCACTATCGTTGAAGTCATTTGAATGCTAAATAATATCAACGTTTTTACTAAAATATATTTACCTTTTCTCTAGATTTGATCAGTAAGTTAACGTGTTTAAGGGCATAGTCCAAATCCTCTCTATACCTCATACTGTAGTTTCTGAATTCTATCTGACCATTCTTAAATAAAAAATTTCCCTTACATTCTTCCTGCTTCAACCTGGAACCTAAACGATTTATTGAAGAAAAAAAACGTTGGCTAATTCATTGCCAATTAAACAATAATTTCACCAGCAGTAATTAAAAATACCATTAAATTTAATTTATTAATGAAAAGTCAAGAAAAAAAACATTAACTTTTATAATGCGCCAACAAGTTCTGCTTAACTTCAACTTCGTCCCCCCCGTTCTGAACATCTTCACTGAAGCAATCATCAACAGCCTCCACGTCAACATTCAAATATTCTTGCAGTCTGAGGAGAGACACCATGGTCGTCTCCATGGATGAGTGGATCTTTATGAGGTAGCAGAGGAAGAAGGAGTCCTGGTGTGGTGTTTGGGTTCGTATACACAACTATGTATCTAAATACATCACGCATGAAATTAAATTTGTAAAAAATTATTATAAGATCAGTGTGAGAAGAATGTTTGAGGTGGAAAGATGTAACTGCATTACAGTCAAACACAACCCACTATTAGCAACAATTAATTACTGCAAACGACAACCAGTTTCATTCATCATTAGAGTCACTCATGCAACAGCATCATCACAAATGACTCGCCAGTCAACCAACCTGGATTGTGGCAGCCATGTAGTAGCCAACTATGGAGCCATTGAGTGATGAGCGATTCACTATTGAAAACACCGCAGCAAACAATGTTACCAGACATCCAATAAATTCTAGCTGAATTGACAGCCATCTATTGATATAAGTTTTAATGTTAGGAAAATTTTAGAGATAAACTTAAAATCTCTGTTAGCGCATCAACACGTAGAAATGAGAATTGAAATACTTTTTATAAAAATAAAAATTCAGAAATATCATAATCTCGTTTGGTTGGTTTTGTCGTCTTAATGTTTGAGCAGGTTGGAAAATGGTAATTCAAAGTCGAAAGTAACACAAATTACAAAAAAATGTATATATACGCGTATGTACATAACTAACTCATTATCTGATGATGAAAAGCAATAATGAGTACCAAAAAATACTGAATTATGCAAATTTGAAAAGTAATGAAATTTTAAATGAAAATATTTATAAAGTAGACAAAAGATGACACGCAAAAGCGGCAAAGCCAATAGACAAATCAGCAAAAAAGTTAATTAAGATATGCGCCCTAAGCAACCTATCAGCAGCATTGATGGCACAACTGTAGACTGTATTCTCATTGACGAGCTGGTCAAATCTATTCATAAACATGCTTTGTTTGTTGAAAGCTCTCATAGATGTCAGTCCATCAACAGTCTCACAGACGTGTGCGTAAATTGGGGAGCGAGAATTTGAACTCAACCACTTCAACTGGCAGACAGTCGGCAGGTAGAAGTGCTGAATGGATTATTTATAAACCATCTAAACTAGACTTTTAAGCAAAATGACATTTGTTGAACATGCTCTAAAGTCCTTAGGTTCTGTCACAGTTCAATAATACAAATGCAAATAATACAAATCTAATATAAACATTCCAATAAAAAATTTTGTATACCGAATTGATAACATGAAATGGTTTAATGAACTTTTGAACAAAAAAAGTCAAAAATTGAAATAAAGTACAATCCGAAAAATAATTATAAAACCTGCAAGGAAAGGAACAGAGCCAACAAAAGAAGTACCACGGCAATGAATGCGGGGACAGAAAATGAAACGACCAAAATGGTGGCAGTCAGTGAAGTCAGCACCGTCAACCACTGATGTGTGAGATCAGGGAGAGTGTTGTCAATCGCATCCAAATCCTTCGAAAATCTTCAAGGGAAGATGTCGATCATTAACAATTCACAAACCAGATATATAGTGCTTATTTGTTAAACAAGAAATTAACAGGAAAATGTTTTTGGTTTCAAGGTGTAGGTTAAAAATCATGGATCTGAGATAAATTATGAAACAATATGTAGATGAGGATAAAATTAAAAAAATGAAACCTGTTGATGATCCTGCCGGTGGGTGTGCTATAAAAGAAGTTCATGGTGGCGCGCATGATCCGATGAACCATGGTAGAGTGCAGCCGTTTGCATGCCTTCACTGACGTCTCAATACGAACCACGCAGTACAAGATGACGAAGAAGGCTGACAAAATAATTACAAAACATTATGAAATAACTGTTTCATTGTGCTAATCTTGAAAACATGAGCGAGACAATTTGAAAATGTCAACAAACATCCACCCGACTTTCATCATACATAAAAATTACTACAGTTCTGATTAGAAAAAGTTAACATGGAGAAACTTTTCAATAAAATTGTGGCGAAAAATATCTGATATCCAACCATGTGCCAGCAGCAAGAATCCGTACCTGCTCACGTAATGCATAACCCCATCTTCGTAATTATCGTAAGTGAACGTGAAGGCGTTCAACCCGTTATAACTCCTAGCTGCAGCGCCAGCGTCGTTAGAATTGATATCACTTGCGTTTATTATGTCTCCTGTGCTATGTGAAGTTTGGTTGTAGATGTTCAACGTAATATTGCGATTAAAGCCTGCTCCGTATGAGCTATTTTCAATATTTCCATTATAAAGTTTGAATAGGTGACGATCACCAGTCCATCGAGTAATCCAGATGTAAGAGAGGGTTTGGAAGGTTCTGAAGATTAGGAAACAGGCAACGGCTAGAAAGGCCCACTTATACTTCAACAGAGTTAAGTAAAACCTGTAAGCTGACCATGTTACCTGAGATAGTTGATAACGATTATTTCACTAAAAGTAAAATAATGGAAATTTTGAAATCCAAACTAACAAATGATAAGCAACAATTCAAAAATCCAACCTACCTTTCCGATTACTTCTGGATTGCCAAATAAATTAGCTTTCCCTTCTGCTACATCATCAACAACGATCGTATCACTAATTAAAATAAATGTCTAAAATAGTTTCAATGAGACTGTGAATGTATATAAATGACTCACAATTCTGTTCTGTCAGGTTCACGGCTGTTGTCATTAATGTTTCCGTTTCGGAGACCATCATCAAATTTGTCGTTGAGAAGTTTCGCGGCGTGGTCGTTGCTCGTCAGCACCCTGGTTATGTATTTGTCGTTGTTCATGAGTTGCTGGTAGGTGCCTTGCTCAACGATACAACCTCCATCCAGCACAACAACCTGGTCGACATGGGGGAGTATGTTCACTGCATGAGTCACTAACAACCTGGTCTGAGTTGTATCAAATACAACATCATCAGTGGTTATAAATTGTGGAACTATTTTTTTAAAATGATTAATAAACTTCCATATTTAGCCGAGTGAACCTTGTTTTTGAGCATGCCGTGTGGTCCGATGAGGCTGTCGAAGATGTGCGTGGCGACGTGTGAGTCAACAGCACTGAGTGGATCGTCGAACAGGTACACGTCACAGTCCTGGTAGATGCTTCGGGCCAAGCTCACTCGCTGCTTCTGACCTCCGCTTAAATTAACTCCCTTTTTAAAACATTCAACAATTTTAGAAATGTTTCAATTAAAGATCACTCATTCATTTTCAGTCAAATCAAAGGTCGATCAGTTTTAATAGTGCTTGTCAATGTAAAAACAACTGAATAATTTAAAATAAATCCAATCAAACAAACTGCAAAACTGTTGCGAATAAAAAAAATTTTGATATATGAAGGAAACAGGAACGACTGCAACAAGCAACTTACCTTCTCTCCAATCTCTGTCATCTCCCCTTCACTGAGAAGCAATAAATCTTCAGTGAGAGCACATGCGCCGATTATTTCATTGAACTTCTTTTTCTCATATGGTTGGCCTAACAAAATGTTGTCGCGAAGTGATGCGTTCAATATCCAGGCTTCCTGAGGTACATAAGCTATACGTCCCTAAATTTTAAAATCATTCACTGGGTAAAAGGAAGTCCCTTTGAAAAGTCTAATCAAAACTTGAAAAACTGTTAAAACACAATTTTAAAGAAACAAGTAACTGTTATATTTATTTAAAGAAAAATTAAGAAACAATTACATAATAAATAACGAATCATACACTCTGCTGACCTTAACTTCCACTTGACCTTGAACTTTATGAAGTTCGCCTAAAATGGCTGACAATATGGCCGACTTGCCTGACCCAACCTGGCCCACAATAGCCACAAGTGATGGTTCCTGAACACGTAGGTTGATGCTGATTTTGAGTAGTTTATTTTATTTTTTTATCGTTTGTAGAGAGTGATTAGTGAGAAATTTTTTAAATTTCGAATTCTGCACTGAAGTACGCTATGCACATGTCTCTATTACAATCAGAACTCATTTTTTGTAACTTTTACACTTAATACATAAAATTATTATTATAATAAAAATTTATTATTAATCTATAATTTATTCAATTATTATTCTAATAATAATTTATACTAATACTACAGCAAGAAAATTAATAAAACAATTACTTGCTGAGAACGAGAGGACCCACTTGAGACCATTTGAATGAGCCATCCGTTATCACAAGTGACGTTCTTTTATCTTGTCATTGTCACAATTTTATTTATTTATTTTATTTTAATTTATTTATTTAATTATTTATTTGGTTACGTCATGGTTAATACATTACCAAGACAATAAAAAGGTTTAACGTTTCAACAATTTTAAAAAATTGTAGCAAATTGTAAAATGACCTCCCACTGTTGCCGATTCAGTGTCAGTGATGTTTTCTACATAATTCATTTGCTCAGTAAGCCTGAGGAAATTTTCAATTCTTCTCAGAGAAACTCTGGACTTTAAAAAGCGTTAATAAATCATCGAAACGAAATAAAAACAAAGTTGAAACTGTAATTTTGAAAAACACACTTTAATTGAAAGAGTGATTATGACAGGTGTGAGATAGAGTTGAAATTGGAAAAGACCAAACAATGAGAATGATGTGAAGGCCACTCTGGCGTCCAAGAAACCAACATAGAGCGAGTAAACAGAAAACGTGGCAAACGTTACCTTCGTTAGTTTGTTTGTTTGTTTGATTGTTTGTTTGTTTGTTTGTTTGTTGTCAATTAATTGTTTTAAATTTGTCATACACATTTGATCACGCTGAATTACTTAGGCAAGCTATCATTAATATGCTCAAACACAAGAACGCTCACCAAATTAGGAACGAACAAGGATATGAACACGTTTATGCTGTTGAGGTAGAAAAACTTTTTCAAGCCATTCAACTCAAAGCCCCTCAGGTCTGCCAACTTCTTCTCAAACACACTCTCCCACGTGTAAAACTTCAGCAACTGCATTTCAAATAAATATAATTCTGCGCTATTAGATATTATCATGTAGCTTCAAGGCAAGACAAACAAAATAAGAAAAAAAATTACCTTTATTTTGTTTAAAATTTCATCTAAAAATTTCAATCTTTTGTCTTTCCATTTCATCTGGCGAATCTAGTTGATTTTGTTGTGTATTGTGATCACTTGCAGATAAAAACTTTTGACAGATATGGAACTTATGAAGAAACTATCAATAGATACATAATTGCTCGTTACTACGAACGACAAAACTGTCACAAGAGCATCAAATGTAGGCGTAAGTCAAGTAGGAAAGATGGCGGAAGAAATTAAACAACTCGATAAACTTATGGAAACTATGGCTTAATAATCAGAGGAAAACAATTGAATGGTTAAGGAGATAAAAACTTTATTAAAAATACTGAGAGATTTCGCATACATATTACGTGTAGTAAACTGGTTTCAGCATATAGAGCTAAATAATAACTACTCCAGTTATATAATAGTTAATGGTCTCAAAATAACAAGAAGAAACTAAGGATTGCAATAATTTGACTCTTAAAAAAAACAACAGCATGATAAAACAACAGCATGGATAGAATAGAGTATTAGGTGCTAAAATTTCTTCAGAACAAAGGGCATCATTCATTAACTTGTTTGAATTGCAAGGCAAGGCGGAAATAACTGCAAGTGGAAGAGTATTTGTGATTTCTATACATTCACTTCAAGTTATAGAAAAAGTACTAAGAATGAAACAGGCTTTTATTTAGGCAGGAGAATGATGTGACATGTGATAAATGAAAATTGAAGATAATAAATTACATATGGCTGAAAACATGAAAAAAACGCAACATAAAGATATTATATTAATCCTACATCAAACCTAAAATGTCTGATAAAAAAAACTTAAAATTAGCAATAAACATTTAAAATGAATGTAAAAAAATTTAAAAACTTGATAGGCTTTCAAAGGATAAGATATTGCTGCAACAGTGATGACGACAATGATGATGATACTAATGAGAATGATGATAGCACGTCCGAGCAGGTGCCAAAGTAAGACAATCAAGAGGATAATTTGGAGAGGTGTGGCCCAGATTAAGTAGGAGTGTGAAAAAAATTCACCAACTATATAAACGTCAGTTGACAATAAGTTCAGTATTTCGCCATTTGTGGTGGCTGTTACAGAGTTGTTATTTGTGGAATTTCTGCTTTTGTGGTGTGCCAACTTTCTAGACGATGATAAAAAAGACTGTTTGCTGTTTAAGTCTAAGCTTATTAGCTGGAATACAAAAAAAAATTGATAAGATATTAACTGAAAAATATTTAATTTGATTAAAGCACGTGTCACCTTGTTGTAGATGACAGCAATGAGGGTTGATGTGACTCCGTAGTTCACCCTTAAACCTAAATAAGTCATCCGTTGGTAGCTGATCGATTCTATTGCGTAGATGACGAAGAAGAGGGTCGTGATAACAACTCCATTCCAGAGAGGAGCGGATGGGTTGTCGAAGAATTTTATGAAGATGCTGAAATTTCAAGTAGGTTATGATCAATAGTAAAAATAAATCAGTGACGAGTTAACTTGAACAAATATAAATATGTATATGCAAAGAGCAGTGCTGTGTTTGCATGGATGTACACAACCTACACGGCGTGAGAGTTTAACATGCGTTGGCAGCTAAACGAAAAATTAACAATTAACATGAACAATTTCGACACTTGTAGAGCGGCATATTGAATGTTTAAAAAAAATTTAGAGGCAGCATAAATATAACAAAGTTGAAGGGGAATTAAAATAAATAAGTAAAATAATAACCTTAATATCATAGGAACGGTAAACATGCAGAAGATAGCAACCAGCATGAACAGGTACGACAACATGAGATTGCAAGAGAACATTTTAAATAAAACCTTCAACAATGAAGTGCTGTTGAAAAAAAAATGAAGAATTCTATTTCAACGACCTTTAACAACTTTTAAAAATTTCACGTGTCTTTTTATATTAATATCGTTATGGACGTCGTTATTATATTATTATTCATTAATTAAATAATTAATTAACACAACGATCCTAACTTTTTGGATGTTTTGATCTTGTTGAAGTATGTCCTACAGCGAGATGCCTCCAAATCATCATCCACTGTCCACAAATCTTTCATCGACAGGCTGCTCTTGTAGCCTTTGATCAACAACCTTAATGGAAAGAAATTAGTTTTTCCTTGATTAAACTTTTAAATTGTAAATACTATTTTAAAAAAATTCTCAAAAATGCATCTTAAAAATTGTTTTTTGGATGAAACGAAACTAAAAACTACAGTTGAATAAGTTACATAACCAATAACGATAGACCAAACCTTTACATGGAACATCACGTTAAGCAAAGTTTAATAGCACAACAGAGTACATATTGAACTTTGAAAAAAATTATTAGGAACAGCTTTTTTTTAATTTCTTACTTAAATCAATGTAAACACTTAATGGCTGGGTTATGAAAACAGGAGTGATGATAAAAAGCATACAGTGCAATAAAAACATGCATGAACCATTTCAAGAGCATGAATAAATTTCATGATAAACAACAGACAAACAAACAAGCAAACAAACAGACAGACAGAAACAGACAGACAAACAAACAGACAGACAGACAAACAAAAGCACTCACTTATACACCCAGGTGTAAGTGAGAACACACAGCCATGATGACTTCCACTCTGGTGAGGCATCCTATATAAAAAAAAGGTGAAATAAAAATTAAATTTTACTCTAAAAGTATATATGTATATATATATATATATATATATATATATATATATATATATATATATATATATATATATATATATTCTTTAAAGTTGAATCAATATTTAATTAATTTAGAGTAACTTTTACTTTAACTCTAGTAAAACCAAAATAGATGATCATAAACATCACATATAAGTATCTGCCTGTGAAAAACAACTGGAACTTAATTCACTAATTCAATTGCTTACTATGGACCTTGCTATTGTATCCACTATTGTATTTTTTGTTGAAGGTTATGAAACTCATTGGCTATAAAATAAACCATCAAATATATATCTATATGATCTATATCTGAAGACACCAATAAAAAATATAACAAATGGTCAATTATTTTTGGCACATTCCAAAACTATCAATAAAATTTTATAATTTAATTAAGACTACCAAACAGGTTTAGACAATTGCGTGCCATCGCACATTTGTTAATATTCAAGTTAATGTAAATATTAATGTAATGTATAAGGTATAATGTAAGTAAATATTCAAGTTAATGTAATGAAAATAAAAAACATAGCCATTGAAACGAAGAGTGAAACTCCATCATTTACCACATCTATTCCCACAAAATGTGATTATGCTTTGCATGTAGATTCAACACTTTGAAGAGCAAGGAAAGAAAGGGCTATAATGGTATATCTATTCGATCAACTGTGTTCAACAAACGTGACTTTAGAGCCTAGCTTGAGTAACTTATCATTCACCATTCAGACAGACAAACACATACACACAATTTAAAAAACTTTTGAGAAATCGAAGTGAGCATAAAAACGTCAGATAAAGCAAACAAGCTCAAGAGTTTAAGAAACAAAATCAAAAATGTCAACGACAGCAACAATGTAGATGTAGACAAATAAAAACAAAACATAACAAAAAAACAATAAGACTTTCGAGCTGTGCAACGTACTGGCAAAAGTAAATAGTAAATAACACAATGATGACAATATGTATTATATTGTTACACTGTTCATTCAGTTTAAAACTTAATATTTCTCAGTAGCTCAATAAATTTTAAAAGTTAAATAAATACCTGTAACAACTTATAAACTAAAAATTAAATATTAGGAAAATGTTTCATTAGTATATAATTTAACAAAAAACTTAATCCTAAATTCAAGAAAAAGTAAATTTTCAATGTGTGCCAGCAATATCATTTCTTACTGCTGTGAATTTTTTAATAAGATGGGACAAAGTTATTATTTATTAGCAATTAGCAGATCATACTGAAAAATTACAAATGATCGCCAAAATTGGATTCAAAACTGATACACAATAATGAAAAGACTGCCTTAAAAAGTGGGAACAAAAAAAAATAAACCTGAGCAACTGTTTTGACTCCATCAGAATTGACAAAGCAAGTCAGGAGGAGCATCAGGTAAACTTGAAATGAGAACCAGGAGAAAGCAGTTACATAGAGAGCATAATTCTTAGAGATCTGTATAATTTATTTTTAAAAAATATCATCTGCTAATAAAAAATTATGTGACAAACTCACACAAAAAATTTAACTTGAAAGTGTTTTTACACTGCAACAAAAATAATTACAAATAAACACTAAAAAATAAATGAATTGGTAAATTTAAAATTAGGAGGAGTAACCGACCGTAGAGTAATTCCTTCCCCAAAAGAGAACGAATGTATAAAATACCATGGAGAACGAGAGGAGGGTATAGAATGAAGGAAGGCAGAATGAAGTAACTAATCTCTTCTTCTTTTCCATGAGAAGGGTAAGAAATGATACCGCCTGTTAAATATCAGTTGAAACATCAGTCATAAAATCATTGAACAATCTCTATTTTTAAGTAACATACAAACATACATAAGTTATATAAGTTCCATTGTCACATAAGTTTAAATTTATCATAAAATAATAGCATAAAACTATTTATTAAACTGAAATAGCATTTAGATGTATAACAAATTATATTTTAAATATTTGCAAGCATGTAACAACTTACAAAGGACAAAGACATTATAGAAGAGGCTATAACTGATCTGAAATGAACATCGCCCGAGAAATATTTAACAGCGTGATACGATAGGCACAATATGTTTGTTACTAGCATGCTTCCAGAAGCTATCTGTGATGAGTATGGCAATTTTAGGCTTTGTTATCAGTTAATGTAACAATTTCAATAATTCATTCAGATTAATAGTTCAATACAAAATGTTGACACTTATATCAAATTTAATAAATAGGGATACTTCAACAAATTGTTCATTGACTACAACTAAAATTACCTTAACAATTATTTTATAAATAAAAAAAATTATATACATGTTGAGATATTCCATAGCTTGACATGCTTCAGTCAAGCTTTTAGCCAACAGCCAAGCACTTTGACATTATTCCTTAACTTGAAAAAAGTTAATAAAAGAAGAAGAAAATGACTTACCAACTCTAGTTTGGATACAATGGACATATTTTTGATCTTTCTGCCATATTTCAATTTTCTCAAGTAGATCAAAATATAAAACGGGGCAATTAAAATAATGAAGAAGCAAGGAATACTGATTGGCATAATCCATAAAAAACAGCTTGTGAACTCTGGGCTTTCGTTGTCCCAAAAATCTGAATTATTCTAGCAAAATTATATTCATCTTTAAAGTTTTTTCTTGTAAATATGAATAATATCTAAATTGAAATATTCAATAACAGGCAAAAAATTATTATTTCTAAAATGACATTTTGTATCAAATAATAAATTAAAGATTTATTAAAATTTAAAAAAATTTTTATAATTTAAACAAAATACCCAAAAATGATCTCCACAGAAACTCTTCAGTGAAAAAGCAGACATACTACTTTTATTTATTTATTATAATGGATTTTTTAAATTTTATAATTAATAATAAAATAATACCTTTCAGTGATATTATAATTATGTAATAATTATATATTAAACTTTAATTTTTTTTTAATCAGTAGTTTTTTAAAGTAAAGTCAGAAATTTTAGTGCTCTCACTCCCTTAACTAAACTAAACCTTACTCTTTACTGCTAATCTATTCTAGAGAGACTAATACTAATGAGTAGTAATGAGTAACGACTAATCAATGGGGTTATTAAGTTAAAAGTTAAGGCTCAATTTACTTTAGTTAGGTTTAGATTGTAAGTTACAGGTTAAAATCATTAACTGTTAATTAATTTAATTAATAGTAATAAATAAATTATTTATTTATTTTTTTTTTTTTAATTTAATTACAGCTTTACACTACATAGCATAAATACCATTTTATCTCTACAGTAGGCATACTGCTACAATATAAATTATATGTTATTATTTAGTAATTACTTAATAAAATATGCTACACAAAAAGCAAATGCAAGCAATTTTTATTCAACATCTGTGCAACATCTTGTCACTTTAGCAAACATACGCCGCGTATGTATATTAAAATACATACATAAAATAAAATATAAACTCATCATAAACAGTATTGAACCATATTTTACGTAACGATTTACTAAGTACCTCGATGTAAATAAATCGTCGTATGCTCTTTCAAATACGTCCTATTCAAAAGAATTACGTGCATGAATTTAGGCTAAATTCTCAAACCGACCTATACAACTTGGCTGTACTTATATAGATATAAGTTTTCTAATTAAAATTTTATTATAATTATTTAATTTATTAAGTAAAAAACTAAATATATTATTATTCATGTTTGTGACTATATATAAGTTTATATATACATGAGTACAGCCATATAGTACAGCTATATATAAATATAGAAATATTTTAACTTTTCGATTTTTTTTTATGATTCTTTTCATAATTTTTTCGTCACGATGCACGTCATAACATCTTTCGTCACGATGCACGTACAAACTGGCGCTATAAAGAATCACATGAAAGAGTTGTATTTCATCACAAGAGATGCAGTTCTTTGATGGGAGTAGTATATTCTTAGTTTAATACTATCATTCTCGTCGATTGCTTGGACGTTATTTTTTATGATTCTTTTTAAAATTTTTTCGTCACGATTCACGTACAAACTGGCGCTATAAAGAATTACATGAGAAAGAAACACAAAACTAAAATTACTAGACAAATCTTGGAACACAATGTTGAAATCTTACATTACAATAATAAATTATAATTTACGACTAACCGAATCAATACTCATAGAACAAAAATATCCGATAATAAATATTCAACAACGGGCAATTAGAATTCTTCCTACAAATAAATTTAGAAAGGAATCACCGATAAAGAAAACACCTAAAAGTGTTATATTTATCGATAATGAAAACACATAAAAGTGTTATTTTATCGATAATGAAAACACGTAAAACTGTTATATATTTAAATATTATAACAACGTTTATACGATGATGATTATGAGATGATGATGATGATGATTATTATGTCATTCGTTGTCTTTGAACAAACTATTTCAAAAAAATGCCCGCATTTAAAAAATTGAATACGATAAAATATTGTAGTGAACCTTACGCCTATAGTTTAATTTTATATTCTGAACTAAAAAAATCTTGAAGAAATTGATAAAAAAGTTAAGTATGAAGCAGAAATTTGAATCAAGATATTGTTTTGAAACAACAAATATTTATTTCGACCTAATTTATCCACTTTCGAATTTTCGCTCGTTAATTTGAAATGTAGATAAAAGTTGATCACCAACAAAATCCACTAACATGTTATCAAAAGAAAAATATACATATTAATGAGGTAGAAAATAAAAAGATATTTATACATTATTCGACATGTTGACTTTAAAAAATTTCTTTCCCTTAAAGCACTTTTTTAAACCAGTTATTGTCTAATCAACAAAAACGAATTTCTACAATCTAAATTGACAATACTTGGCATAAAATGTATCAATATTCTGTTATGCATACGAGTAGGAATGCGACGGTTCCGAATCCGGATTCGGATCCGAATCCAGGGATTCGGAAAAGATTCGGATCCGCGGATCCTAAATTGAGGATTCGGCGTTTTACGGGTCCAAAATCAACTTAAGCGGCGAGAAAATTTTATCGATTGAGGGAAAAAGTGAATCTAAATATCAACATTGATTACGTAATAATCATTTAAAGTTATGAAAACTGATGTTTTTGAGATTCGTTTTGCACCTCTACAAATTTAACATTCAAAACAAAAATTTGATTTTCGTCAGAGAAACAGCTTATTTAGTTTTATGACCGCATACAACATGGATCCGGATTCGGATTCGGATCCGTCCGGATCCATCGTCGAGATCCGGATTCGGATCCGGATCCACGGATCCCAAAATCTTGGATCCGTCCCATTCCTACATACGAGTGAAGGTAAAGTTTAAGCTCGTGACAACTTGAAGTTGAATATTCGTATTGCAATTTACATAATCCTAGCATGACATGTACAGTGCGTATAACGTGATTACATGATATGTAGTATATGGCTATACAATCGTTTCAATATTGATCGCTTCGATTGAAGAAAATACACATGAATGTAAACATGTGTGAAATATATCTAAAAAATTTGGCAAAAAAATTAATATTAAATGTCAACTGAAAAATTGTTTCATTATAAACTGTTTTTTATTAATTCAACAATTTGTAATTAGGTATAATAGATATCAAAATACATAACTGTCCAAATGAATAAGTATAAACGAAAGTCATATTAGTAACAAATAAAAATTTGAAATATTGGTACAACGAAGAAAAAAACAAAGTCGAACAACAAAGCTAACGCCACAGAGCAACAAAATAAGTAATGTCATCGTTATTATAAGCAGACAAGCATGTTATGGGTACATTGATGGTAGAATATACAATTAATCGATTGTACAATGTGTATTTAGTCATTGAAGAACTAACGGCCCACAATTTCGATGTCTTTGGCGACCATATTGCACTAAATTTTAAACGTTCACGATTTTTATAAGCTTGTACATAACTTAAAACCTGACCTTTTGACATTTGCATTTTAAGTTCATTGCTAAATTCTTTCAGAGTTAACCCTAACCTAACCCTTCCATTTCCAATGTAAATTTTGTCATATAGAGCTGCAACGTATAACTGGCCCTTGTACTCTGAAACTGACTGTACGACCAGCCGATACCCTTTAGCGGAAAGTCTATAAAATTCAACTTTGTGCTTGCTTGGGCTGAAACCCTCGTACGAAGTCCAATCTGGCCAGTCGTCTTTCACGAAAAGTGCAGCATACCTCAGTTTTCGTTTGCTTACATAACTTTCAACGTGTGCAAGTCGATATCCTTGAGCTATCCGGGCTTTATAACGTCGCCTGTATCGGGAGGGAATCAAATCCAAGTAAACTTTCCATCTGCAAATGTTGTGGTCGGTTAAATTTGTTTTGAAAATGAATAACTTGGATTATAAATAACAAAACTAAATTAAGATCTTACCTTTATAAAAAAAAACATTTTTTCGAATTGCGAATAAACGTTAAAAACGCACTTGCTTTGTGGATTTTCGTTCTTAGACCAAATTGTGTTGAAAAACATTTGACCGCTGGCATCATTATACGCATCAAGCCATATTAGTCGATAAATTTTATGCGAAAAAAGATTAATAAAATCATAAAATTTATGATCTGGAATCATCGTTTTTACAAAATTTTTGCGATCCTGTGAGACTGAGTCAAAGAGAGATTCTCTAAAAAGTTAAAAAAATACGAATTTGTAAAATAAATTCGAACCAAATTAAATTAAACTAATTACAGAGATTGGTCCACGTGAATTTTATAGTTCTCTTGCATTTCCATATCGTCCAAATCATTTTCCATGTGCTCTGGATCAAACGAAACAGCCGGTGAGTCCATGAAGTTGGCGAGAGAAAAGTTGTTTGTATCATCATCCTCGCTACGATTGATCAACTTTTTTACGGCGTACTTCATAAAATCATTTAAATCATTTGGCTGCAGTTTGCAGTTCAATAAGATTGACCATGTAATATCGTTCTCGTCTTTATACATCATTGCTGACGACCCTTCGAGAAACCCACTGTGCCATAAAACTCTGCACAACATATTTTAGGCTGTTATAGTAATATTGCTAGTCAAATTTACTGAGAATAATTAAAAAATTAGCAAACTTTTCATTGTTAGCCACAACAATTCCCAGTCCGTACCATGACGATGATGATGACGCCACCTGGCCAGACTTACCCAAGTATGATGGCCTTTCAATCATTCTACGAGTTGTTTCGCGTGATAAAATGAACTTTTTAGACAGATCTTTGTCATGGGGATTCAGCGAATTGTAAAAAGCCTCTAATATGGCAACAAGTTCAGAAGCGGACGACGTCCATCCAGAAGATGAATCCAATATAGACATGTCTAGCGATCCATGGATAGAAATGGGATTTCGGAAAAGTGTCGTCCGATTTTTACCTGGTTCCGACACAAAATATTCCACCTGTTAAAATTTTTTTTTAAATTTAAAAAAAGATCATTAAAAAGATTAAAAACATTCAATACTTCTGATACGTCGATGTGATGATTTTGATGTTTTCCTATTTTCATTCTTTGCACGCCCATTCTGGATAAAATATCCTTCATGTAGCTCTCATACGATCGAGACGTCAATTTCTCAATGATTAAGCCCAACAATAGATAACCAAAGTTTGAATAAGAGTACTTTGTACCTTCGTAATTTGAAATTTAAGTCTGGCTAAGCATTAATCAGACTTACGTATTATTCAAACTGGAAAAAATAAATAAATAAATATTGAAAAAATACCTGGATCGTAATGAAGAGGGTGACTTAAAAAGTATCTAACCACATCTGATTTCGAGAGTTTGTATCGATATTTATTTCTTGCGTGACTCCTTGAATGGTTGTCGCTGAAATGTTTATCTTTCTTGTAAACACTAAAACTATTTTCCGTTTGTAACTTATCCGGACGGATTGGAGAGTCAATATTAAAATTGTTGTCAATAATAGAATAATCATCTGAAAAGAGAGGACTCACCATTGGGTAACCGTTATCTTCCATCAGATCACCTTGCTTTTCAGCTAGCAAACGCGGACTGGTTGAGGAGTAATCTTTTTTGAATCTATTTTTCATGTTTAGGTGCATCATGAAATGATTATTTCCATAAACATTACTGGATAAATATTTATTTTTAATTTTAAACTCCTTTTCTACAAATTTTTTTAAAATTTCCGGTCTTAGAACTGGGTCTCCTGTAACTTTTTGATCCCACCCTGACGAATGTTGCAAAAGATGTTCAACAGTTATGTTTCTTATACGCTGATCGGAATTTTTCACCTTGAACATGGGCAAGAGACCTTGAAATAAAACAGTAATGTTATATTTTAATACAACGTGTTAACTGTCATTTCTACCTAACCATAGGACTTAAAATTAAAATTTATCTGTTTTATTGTTAATCTTTAACTATGATTATTTAGTTTATTGGTAATTAATGGGTTGTCAATCGAATTGTTTCATAGAATGAAAAAAGAATCGTGTAAAAAATTGTAAGTGCTCCTCTTATGGGTTGAACACTGATGGACCACCAAAACATTAGAAAAATCGAATTCAATTTTTTGCTGCATTTCATACTTCCCAAAGCCAAAAATAGGGTGCTCACTTATTAGTGTCATGTAACTTTTGCTAATATTACTCCCGAAGAACAATTTAGTAGAAGGGGTTCTGATTGTTACAGTTAACTTTACATAATTCTCATTTACATCTGAATAAATGCAACCTTATTACAAATGAATTTATAGTGTAACAAAATCTTTATCTAAAAATAATCTTTCAATTAAAGCAAATTTTTTTCCTTTTCAAGATTGGGAAAGCAGATAAAAAAAGTTGGCTTCCCACATTTCTATGCCTTAATATTATTATTATAAGTGAAAGTTACACTGGTTGTTATTCATTTCTTGCACTGTGCTTTGCATACACCGCATACATTGTAATGTTCTTGCAAGTAAAAAAATGATTCTTACTGCAACGGTTCAATTAAGAAAAGGTAATAAATTATGTAATTCGCACTTTAAAAACCGTATCCATCCGACACGTTGCACAAACGTTCGTTTGTATAAAATAACAAATAACAACAGATTAGATTCTCAACTTTTCTTCTTTCTAAAAGAATATTTGTTGGAGCATAGCTAATAAAAAAAATATTTTTGCAACATTTTAAGTTGCAAATCAGATTGATATTGCAAATGTCATTCAAAACATATTTGAATGAAACTGAACGAGCTCATAATATTGATCGTTTAAAACTGCCAGGAAAAAACATGTGTTTGTGACGAGAGGATGTGAATTCGTTCCTGCTATATTTGTTACATTTAAACTACGTTTCAAAGTAAAATTTATAAAATAAATGTTGTTCTTACTGCGCACTCTATTGCTATTTGAAACAAATAAAAAATAAAAAACCCAATTGTTCGATTTCGATTGCATGAAAGACGAAAATCATTGCCGAGATGAATAGCTCGGTGCAGGTATATGAAAAGTTCAACAAGGACGCTGCGACAAGATGGGCAAACCGCTCTATAATTTTCTTTTCATCTGTTGGGACTGTTCATCTTTCAAAAGATTTTACTTGGTGCAGAGTAATGTAAGGAACCAGAACACAATTGTTACATTTAATTACACGTTGTTACTCGGTGTTACTATTTACGAGCTTCAAGTTTCATAGGAGACGTTCGGTAGCATATCCCACAAAGCACTATAAAAATGTTTTGTAATGGAATATTTTAAAAATCTTTTGCAATCAGAAATATCCAAGGAACGAATACCCGCGAAATAACTAATTACAAAATACCTTATTTATTTATTTGTTGTTTTGATTATGCAAATTGTTCGTTTCACGCGTATCCTCTTAAAAGCATCAATCATCCAATAGAAGATGATGGTGCCAAACGTTACAATGTTACAATAATAATTACGCATTGCTCCATTATCGTTATTGCTTTATTTATTATCATCCACTCCCAGTTTTTTTCTACTTGCCTTTTTTTAGTTCACCGTTCACAGTTTACAGTCAGCAATATTTAATGCAGTTTTGTTTATTTTTGAGATTTACGTTAATTTCCACTTGTCAATACAAACGCACTTCATTCGCAATTTTTCTTTAGTGCTTCTTCTGCCTTTCATTAATGCATATATATGTTACTATGTAACTTTATGTTCGGTTGTGTAGTTGGTTTTTTTTTGTTGTTTTTGTTGGTAATTGTTTTATGAAAGAGCAGCACAGTAAGTAAAAATTTGATTATTTCAAAAAGAAATAACTAAATAAAAACACTACAGACATTTTTAACAGTTTCTCGCTCGCCTTGATATCCAGTAAATCAAGTTGAACAGTTATATTTTATGATGATGATGATGATTGAAAATTAATTTATTGATTTAGGCTTAATAAATATATAAGAAGACATTTTTTGAAAAATTTTTTAATGTAAACTTTTTTGGCTTAATGTTTAGAGCACCTGGTTCTGTTTCTCAGTAGCCTGGTTAAGTGCTAAAAAAATGTATACGCTGTTGTCGTAGTCACAAGAGACGGCTGGTCTTGCTATACTGTGTCCTGGTTCAAACCCAAAAAGACTTCAGCCCATCACATGCAATGTGTATAATGCGTGGTTATCATGGTTATCAGGTGTATTAAAGTATGATGTGCGTCTTTTGCTGTTTTTCATAAACAAGTGCACTGAGACGAAATGACCTCTAAATCTTTGAGTGTATGTTTCAGTATCAATCAGACTCGCTATTTTTGTCATTACCCCTGAAATGAGCCAAAATAGCTGATTGCCTATTTGGTAATTTTGAAACTCTACTATGTATTATAAATAGTTTTATATTTAGTAGTTTAATATTTGAAACAGAAATCTTTCCATTCAAATCTACTGAATGAAATTTTGGAGTAAGATACAATTTCTCCAATGTGAGTAAACACATGCCAACATTGACAACCAAACAATCTTGCTACTTTTTATATCCTTCTGTAATTTGTTACTTCAATCAAAAAGAAATATGATATCTAATGTCAATTTATTTTTAATGAGAAATAAATAAAGTTAAGTAATACTCGAAGTTATTCTATCCAATCAGGATTGAAAACAAAATGTAAACTTAGATTCACCTACAACATAACGCATGTTATTGCATTGAACTACATTACATTACAATGAGAAACAAATACTACATCAACCTTCTTCTCCGAAAACGAGGTCATCCAACCGCACCTTCCCATGTTCCACCAACCTCATCAACCCCAATGACGTCACAAATTTGGAGACCCCTCCGATTCTTACGGTGGTCCAGGGGGTCATTAATCGTTGATGGCTGGCCCTGCCATACCCTTTGTAAGGGGGTGGTTAATGATGACGTCACTGTGTTATGACTTGATGAGACGTGAATATGATAGCGTTTGGTTCATTGATTAGATGCTGACGTTCCGTTGATGTTATAATGTAATGATACGATGATGATGTAATGGTATAATTATATAATGGTATGGCAACATTACGTACCAAGTAAAAATTATAACGAAATTATTCCCAATCAATAACAAATTTGACGATAAATTTGATAGTACGGAGACTAGGAATGCGAAGATTTCGTTGATAATAATGGAGTGAGAATGATAAAATTGGAAAACAAGTAACTTAAGTCACAATGGAAAAATTCATTCCATCCTATTATCATTTTTCAGTTATCAATGTTTCTATCGGCATAAAATACAGTGGGTTTAATAGTAATTTGATTCAGATTTCTCTCCTCATCATTTTGTTATCATGTTATCATCTTTCTACTCAATGTTTTTTGTTTTTTAATAATCTTTATTCAATTCGCATCTCTTTTTATATTTGTTCCATCATCTTTTTTTCATCAGTCATCTGGTATTTATTTTATTTTATTCGTCTGCAATTATTTTCCATTGATTTTTTTTTCTTGTCTTCCAATTTCGTCCGACAAATAATTTTCATCTTCATCATCATCATTATCAACGTCATTGTCATCATCACAAATATTATCATCGTCAACATCATCATCGTCACCATCGACAGCATCATCTTCATCATCAGCAGCAGCATCATCTTTATCATCATCATCAACAACATCATCTTCATCAGCATCATCTTCATCATCATCTTCAGACCGTTACATTTATCATTTCAGCTTCCTTTTCACTCTTAGGTTCTTTATTATCGTCATCATTGCTCTTATCACTATTTTATCTTTATCAGCATCACCATTATTATCATTATTATTATTACTATGATGTTTATTGGTATTACCTCTATCTCTTTATTATCATTGCTATCATCTCGGTGATTAAAAGCACTTACTAATTAATGCGGCGAGGTCCCTGAATGTTTCAAATATAGCGCCAGCGATGATTGAGAACAAGTGGATGGATGTTACACTAAACTAAACTAAACGTCGTCCTACTCACATAGAACCATAATAATAATAATAATAATAATAATAATAATAATAATAATAATAATAATAATAATAATAATAATAATAATAATAATAATAATATAATAATAATAATAATGATGATGATGATGATGATAAAAATAATAATAATAATAATAATAATAATAATAATAATAATAATAATAATAATAATAATGGTGGTGGTGGTGATGATGATGGTGATGATAACGATGATGATGGTGATGAGGACGATGATAATAATAATAATAATAATCGTAATAGGAATTTAACGTAGTTTAAGTTAATAAAGTTAATAGGATGACGATAATAATGATGACGATGATGATGACGACGACGACGATGATGATGATGATGATAACAACGACAACAATAACAGTAATAATACAAATATGAAGTTGATGATAATGTTGGTGATGTTGATGATGATTATTTATTAAAATGAAAGTAATATACTGTTTGACGAGAGACAAGAAACAACAAAATAAAAAGATCGCAAGATGTTAATGCCACACATAATCATTAGATTATGCGTGGCAAAAATTATTAGGAAATGATTATGTTTGACTAAGACAATGCTGATGATAAATCAATCAAATGATGGATGTGAGTGAATGAGTGAGTGGGGTATTTTAAAATGTAATAAGCACTCTAAAAATTTTCTATCTCAATTTTATGCAGTTTCGTGTTCTTTGTTCGTTTTATTACAAACAAAAACCGGATAACCATGATCTAATTGTTCATCATTGCTCGTTCAAATGATCTATAATTATCCCTATGTTTCAAATCTATCGATGCAACAATCGTTACTTTTATAAATTTTTACAAATTTAACTTTAGCCTATTTTATGAATATAAATTTTAAACAAACAATTGCAATGTTTTTAATAACTTTCCTTTAAACTCGAACATTTTTTTACGGAAGAAATGTTACACATTAATATCAATAGCTGCCAAAAATAATTGCTAAATAGAACAAATAAGCCGAATAGATGGTCTGGAATGGGGAAAGTCTATTTGAAAGCTGAAGCACAAGAGAGGTTTTCAAAATAATGCACTTTAGATTTCTTGACAAATGTTTACGGCAGCCGTGCGAGGCTGAGCAATTCAATTAGAGTAATTATTATTAATATTATTATTATTATAACGTGGAATAGAACTCGTTATTTTATTTCATCATTAGGTTTTAATAAAAAGGATTATTACCAAAAAAAAATTGGTAGTCCTGCAAAGAAATGGATAGATGACATTACTGAATGGACTGGTGTTCTGAATTCAATAAAACTGGACAAAGATAGAAAAGGTTTTTGGAAAGAAAAAAGGAAAAAATAAATGTATAAAGCATGCTTAGATGTACACCATCGACTTCGACGGTCCCCGATGGACAAAGGAGGATCATTGATTGATTGATTGAATACCAGATATGCTTAAACCTGCATATTATTTTATTTGGTTATAAAATAGCTATAGTGAAACGAAAGTTAAGATTTTTTATTATTAACGACAACAGAGTTTGCAATAATTTTTTATATTGGAACAGTATGGAAATTAACGCAGACAAAATAAAAATGTAGTAATTTGAATGTTTATACAAACATTTTCAAACAAAAATGGTCAATCTAAGAAGTATAAAATGTCAACATATTGAAATCATCATCAAATTAAAAAAATTTTAACAATTCGAAAGATTATAAAAAGTAGGGCCGACCTTTTCTAATGATGAACTTTCCATGCTTGCTGACCGCCACACTGGCTCCTGGAATCTTTCGTTCCCTCATGTATGCAGTCACTTCCTGGTCGAAACTGCTCGAGTCCAAATACTGACCGCAACAATCATCTTTTTAAAAAAGTTTTTAAATGAAAAATAATCAATAAATATAATTTTGCTCATTCCTAAACTGCAACGAACTCAGAGAATTTTATATTGTAGTCATTTTTAAATTAATTCAATTACAATTTTACTTGATGTGTTTCAACATTTTAATTAAAAAAATTTTCTAGTAAACGAAATTCATTAAAAAAAATTAAATAAATTTAAATGTTCGGTTTGCGTAGTTTTGTGTGAACTGTTTTGAATACCTTATTGTATGTGCTCTTGATCTATGTGTGTACCGTGCCGTGAATTGATGTGTGTATGTTGTACTATGTATGTGTTTCATAAAATTAAAATCAAATCCTTATTACAATAAAATCGACACGTAAAAGTTAACAATACTAGAATCCAAAAACGAAATAAAAAAAAACCTGGTTTCAATGTTAAAAACAAAAGTATCCAAATGAACATCATTTTTTGAATGTTACGAGATGTGAGAAGATGATCATGGTATTTATTGTTTCCCGGCGTGTTCTGCTTCGCTTTTTAAACGATTTCGTGCACCTGCATTACTTTATATATATATATAAGTCTCGTCGTTTTCAATCATTTAAATAACTATTATACATATATACAAAAGCGTGTGTGTGTGTGTGTGTGTTTGGTAATAATAAAATCAAAATAATTTTGTTTTATATGTGATAAAACCACATACAAGTTATATCAACTTGTAATTTATTTTTATTGAAAGAATTTTATGGTGCTAATCATTAAACTTAAATATAACTTTTTTTTATCTCTACATCTTTACACATAACAAGCATAAGCATGTCGAATGACGCAAGAAAACATGGGACTTTTTATAACGGGACGGTATTGGCCGAAATTTCATTTTAGTTTCTGTACGTAGTTTCAATCGGGAAAAATAACCTGAAAACAAAGTAAACTAATTAAAGCGTTTGTTGAAAAATTTCTTACAAGGTAAAACTGTCTGGAAAGTGAATTTCAAAAAATTTCAAACCCTTCATCGTTTTCATGTTGAGAAGGGGTGGTCCTTCCTCCTACCCCACCCTATACATTTGGTTAGAGCAGAAAATGTTGATAGGTCGTTTAGCGGTCTGAAAGTTATCGAACACACTAAGAAAATTCTAATGGTCAATCCAGGTTCTTGATCCTGTTATCCCAATCAGGAAAATAGTTGTTGATATATTAGTTAGTGATGTGGAATACGAAAGAAAGAAATAACAAATGTATAACATTTTTAAGCAATTTTGTTTTTTTATTAGTACCAGTTTAACAGTGATTATAGATATTAACAAGTAAGTGTATTATGCAACAATTTTCATTTTCAAAAACTGACGCCTGTTAAATCTTCAGCATGCGGTTTTAACTCATAAGAAAAACTACGGCCAATTGGCTATTTTTCCTGTAAATCTTAGTAGTAGGAAATCAATTTTTACCATGCTAGTTCCATGAAATGATGCTGCAAATAATTTTTGATTATCATTTATTCGTTATAAACATGTAAGAGTTAAATAAAAATGTGGTTAATTCATTATACCCGCTTGAAATTTGCTATAAAATATTTATTAAATTTACTAAAAAAGCAAGGTATTTTTTCATATTTTTCATAATACTCACATTTAGTTAAACCCTTATATCAAATGTACCTACGAAGAATAATTACTTCTAAAATCTGAACCAAATTATGCAAATATTAATTAATAATAAACCCCACATTTGGAACGAACAAGCCGCAATTTCATGGATAAGTGGGTATTTTGAAACGAGTTCGTTTAGAACCGTTAACTGTTTTGGTGTTCTCCTGTTACAAGATGCTTTTAATTTAATATCTTCTACTAAAACTTAAAAATTTATTCTTTTTTACCGATCGTTACGGTTCATATGACAGCAGAAAAATATGTTGAAATATTATGCTCAGTTGTGCATGTTTAATTCTATACAAGTGTATGCAAATGCATAACTCAAACAACTGATAAACTATCAAGATGAACACTGGTCTAAAAATAGATTACGAAACTTTCCCACTTGAAGTGATTCCCCATTACTAACGATAGTTCGTTTGTTTAACTTGTATTTGCGTATGTAACGTTGGTCGCTACTAACTTATTATTAAGCTTAGAATCCGGAGGTAGCGGCTCAAACATTCAGTCCATTATTAGTTATAATAATCATTTTGATTCGTTTTATTTTTAATTTTAAGCTGATACATTTTCGTAAACCTTTATTTTTTATCGACAGTAGTTTCTTTGTCATTTTATTTTTGTGAAAGAAGTTTTAGTCAAAATCAATTTACTTTTAATTTTTTAATTTTTATAATTTATAATAGAGTATAAAGTTTATACAGTTTATGTTTATACTATAAACTGTACTGTAGCATACCTTACTTAACTACTAAATAAAATGAATAGTTTTGAAGATATTGTAGAAAATTATGAGCATACATGTCACATAAAAAGAGTGTCAAATGTTGATCACAAAGCCTTCAAAGATACTCAAGAAAACTATGATCATACGTACTACGTAAAAAGAGTGTCAGATGTTGATCACAAAGCCCTGGACGAAGCATTGTCAGAGAAAATTATAAATTGGTTTCCTAAATGTACCGAGTTGTATCCTGTTAAAATGCCAAAATCAAGTATGTTCTGTTTGAAATCTACAGTATCATCTTTCTTGTAATTTTAAAAGAGATTTATACTTACTTATTCTATAATAACGACCACCTAATTTTGCTCTGTCATTGCACAAGAGTGAAAAAGCTTGTACGGTGTACAACTTATCAGTAGTGAACTGCCTTATCACATGTTTTGCTGTGTTATAATATGTGTTGTGCAGTGCAGGTTTATTAAGTTAAAGTGCATAACTTATTATTATTATTATTCACTTCCATATTTTTTAAATAACTTTTCCATCAGACACTCATCCAATGAATGTGACAAATGCTGTGAGTTATTACATGTTTGGAGAAACAGATGTTGCAAGCAGCTCAAAAATTCTACTTGAAAGTCTTCAATCTTATGAGTTTCACAAAAATCTTTACATGAAAAGATGGATGCACGAAGACCCAATGGCAAATTTTAAAGTAACATGCTTATTTTTAAGAATACTTGTATCTTAATATTGAATTTAAAATATTTTTTTACTTCTCTCAGGATCAATCCAAAATGATGCAGTATTTAGTACTGAAGCCTGATCTCAAGCATGAATTATTCTTTGATGACACCACCTTTAAATTATTTATTTTCATTATTGCAAATGTTGTCAGGAGAACAATTGTAGTACTGAGTGGAAATGATAATATACAATCAATATATATGCCTCTCCTCTCAAATTTCTCAATATGTGTCCGTTATCCGATAATACTTTATGAAAACTCAAAAAAATTCTATCCACTTTTGATGGACAAGAACTTTGAAAATATTCCAGTCATACCATTATTTACTTGGCATTCAAAAAACTTACACTCAGCATTTTTGTTACCTGAAGAAAACAGCAAAGATAACATTTGTAGATTGCTTCAAAGTTACATGGTCAGCGGGAAATCAAGGAAACAAAGAAATAATCAACTTTTTGCTAAATTACTACCACTCTCTATCAGTGATAAATCTAAATTCAGAGACAAATGTAATTATGGAGGTATTATTTGCTGCACAGAGGGACATCACCTTTTAAAAAGTGAACGTAGATGTTCCAAATGTTTCTTAAATCAGGCATCGAACAAAACAGCAGTCCAACCATGTAACATTGCACAAATTCATCCATCAAGCTCAACACATGCTCAACCATCAATTTTAACGTGCATCCAACCATCAAATGCCACTTGCTTCCATTCATATGATACAACACGTGCTCAATCAACAAACACTGTAGGAATACAATTGTTGGACACACCACTTCTGGAAACGCCACTTCTTCATTTAGCAGAATCAGAACCAACCGCTCCAGATTATGATCTTTTGACTTTGAAATTTTCTGAAACAAATTTAGGTTTGACAGGTTTCCTCAAAAATATTTGTAGTTAAAATTTCCACATTTATCATAAATCTTTTTTTTTAAGTTGAAGATGAAGAAGAAAAACCATCCCTGATGAGAACTACCTGCAAATATCCTGAATGCCTCAACTTCGTTTCCAGATACACAGCTCCCTACTGTTACGATCACGTGCATCTAGCTGACCCAATCAGACAGAGTATGTTTTGATGGATTTTTATCAAAAGTTTATCAAATCTGATCAACTTGATAAAATTTGCAAATTAATTTGCCATTTTCACTTTTAGCATCTAAAGTAGAAGACATGAACATCAGTTTAAAATTTAATGAAATAATGAAAGAATCAGAAGAGAGAACTAAGGTGGCTGCAACACTATGTCTCGGTGCTTTTCGGGGTTGCACCAACTTTGGAAACAGCAGATGTGCTGGGTACTGCAATGAATGCTTTTCTCTAATTTTGAAATAATATCTAAATTTCTCAGAAGTGTTTGCACATGTTTCAAAAAATATTACATTTGATGATCACTTCATTTTATTAAAATCTAAAAACACTTTTTTGAAATGTGGAATATAAACAATTTATAAAAATACCAAAAAATGTGTACTTGTATTTCAGTTAAAATATGCGAGACAATACAATTTTTGTGTCAATGATATAAGTTGAGTTCAACAACTTTGCCTTATTGGACAAACATTTTTTATTCTTACTGATCAACTCTTTAACTCTTTCTATACTTGGTACTAGACATTCCATCAAACTGTTATCATCTGCATCTAATTGCAATCTCAATTTATCAATACACAACTTCTTTTTTAAGATTGCCAGATTCTTTTTAGATGTATTTTCAGGTCCAGGAGTAGGTAGAGATTCTATATTTGGATACGTAGTTTCTATGTTTGAAATTTGTTCACCCAGTTCTGCCACTAAACTTTTCCACTGTTTCTCTTCCTGAGCCAGCTTTTTGACATAGCTGGTGTAATTGGAGTGTAATGAGTCATCAGAATTATCCAAATAATGTACCAATCTGGATGAACGTTTAGCAATTTCATGGACATCAGGCAATTTTTCTTTGTAATCATTAATTAGTTCATCTTTTTCCAAGATGGCACTGGATGCTGCCTTGAATGATTCTTCAATCGCAGATGAGATGGCAGAGTAAGTTGCTAATGTACTGTCAACTGCATCAAAGCTCTTTCTCTTTAGAGCAATGCTTGATCTGCGTTCCATCTTGATGTAAAAATAAATAAAAAATTCAATTATTTACGTTGGTAATATAGTTTCAAGATTAAATATGCTAAAAAAATTAATTATTTATTTATTTATGTAATTGTTGATATTTAATAAATTATGAGATCAATGCAGATAAATGGTAAATGAAATGGTTAACTAATAAAATTATCAAAGGCTATATTCTCAATAAAAAATCAAAATTGTGAACTAATTCCACTTTTAAAATTTGAAACGAATACCAAATATAATATAACTGTTGGTCGGTTGTGTTCAGTGTGAGTGCCATTCAAATCAAAATTCATGGTGAAGAAATTCCAATTTGAATTAAATTAACGAAAATCAATCCAGGGAAAAACTTACCACGTGGTAAAACAAAAAATAAACTAAACTAAAATATAATTAAATAATAAAATTAATATAATATACACATTAAAATGGGCAAATGTATAATAAAAAAACCAAATTTAAATTTGAACCCGCACTTTTTTGTTTACATTTAAGCGAATATAAGCGATGAGCAGTGAATCTGTACGAAGAATCCAATCCATTAAATGCTGGTAACCCATTAAAGTCGTTTGCTAAATTACGATAATTTAATTGTGAAAAATCATCTAGTTACAGTAAAACATATTTAGTTGATGCTCTACAAAGTTTTGCCTGTCTTGCAATGTCCTGTTTGTAAAAATGAATTTGTGTGAATTCGAACTCATGAAAAGCCTCTTAGATCGACATTAACTACGGATATGCAGTCACAATCGAAATGAACTTAAAATTTTACGGTTGTGGATAAAATTTTACAGCTTGTGGCAAAAATCTGTTTTGTTTGGTTCTAAACCGGTCTTGAAATATTAAATCTGGCATTTTTATAGATGTATTTTTGTTACTAGATTCAAGCATTAGTCAATTTTGTGAGCATAAAAATGTGTAATTTAGTAATGGAAATCTCGACATTTATATATTTATATACATAAAGAATCATATGAATCGAATCGACAGAATAGTTATCATTTGGTTAAACTGAACATGCAGTATTGTTTGATTTTTTTTAATGTGGTGCTGATATAGTGAATTATGCTAGTAGATTCCTACTAGATTCATGTAGTACTCAATCTCCTGAAAATGAAAACGTATTACTATCTCGACGTTTTTGGTATATAGTATCTTGAATCGACAGGGTAGTTTTTCATTCTTCAGGTGTTACTGAACACATATTGTAGTTCGATTATTTGGAATGTTATGCTAATTTAGTGAATTGATGTGAATTAAGCTGGTAGTTTTTTACTAGTAACGACGACAATTTATTTTGAGAACCCTTAACGAAAAAATGTTATTTAGCAATAATTCATTTTTATGTATTATATTTAATTATTTCTTGATAGAGAGAGAAAAATCATTTTAACAGTTTATTTTAATTTTCAACCAGCGAATTATAATATTATATTATTTATCGTTCTGTTCCAGCTGAATAACGTTAAAAATGAACCCACACAACAAAATTTTTATGAAAATGTTGATTCATTATTGTTTCTAATGAAATTTTCAACTTGTTCATTTGTATATAATACAAGAGTGTATTGGTGCATTGATGATGGGAAGGGACGACCGCACTCCTCACGAACCAACACAAGCCTTTTTGTCGCACATATTTTGAGCGAAAGTAAGTGGCAGTTGAACAAGCTGCAATAACTTATTACATGGTTCTTTAATAGCGGGAAGACAAACGCTGAAAGGTATGAGCAAAATGTAGAAGGCGGCAATAACAATGGCAACTGGCCAAGCGATGAGAAGAAGTCCAATAAACCAAAATACTGACCAGCACAATCCTGGGCATGCATTTCCCATTTTTAATCTTTTCAAATGAAATTTTTGAGGTTTTTGTTAATTACAATTTGATATAATTTGGTGACTTAATATAACGGAATAGTTATTTAATTAAAATTCAACATGATACCAAAACACACGTACAAAAATCATTAAAAAAAACAAATTTATTTACTTGCACTTGTTAAGGCTTTACCAAATAGTAAAATGGTAATAAAAAATTAATTAAATATTATTGATCATAAGTTAAGATTATGAATGATAAATCATTACCTATATCATGCGAACAAAATTCATTGCTAAACATTACATCGTTGTATGGCACATATACTTATAATAGACATATGATGTGTTTCTGTCTGCATATTCGTTCTGAGCATCTGGTTTTTCGAAAACAAATATTAGTGCGTACAAACATTTATCTGCCAAAAATATAGTTTTGTATAATTGTATATATATATATATATATATATATATATAATGTATATTTATAATAGACATAGTTGAATGTTGAATAGTTGGTCTGTTAGTTGCCACTGTACCAACTACAAATGCTGCCACAAAGCAAAGAATAGTCGATTGCCATCAGTTCAAAGTATTATCTAACTATTCTTTCTAGCTGCTGACTTAAATATGAAGATGATGGATTAAATGACAGGTTTAAATCAAGTGCAAGAGGTTGCTGATGTCGTGTCTACCTACTGAAGTGTCAATGTATCCAGTTAACCACTAACAAAAAAAATTATTTATCGTTTTTAGGAAAATTATAACAACAAAAGACGGCTCACAAAAGAATTAATAATTTTTATTTGTAGTCATTCATTCTATATTCCTCGACAGATTTCGAATCAATAATATTTATTTGTACAGTAAACGTTTTGTACATCTAATGCTCTGCTTAGATGTACAAAACGATTTGCGTGAAATTTTCTTACCATATCCTTAGAAATTTATGAAAAATTGTGCCAAAAAGTTAATAGTTTATTTTAAAAAACAACCAACACAAACATATCTCCACTCACATACGCAAACGCACACACATTTACACAGGCACACACACACCCTTTAATTTGTGATTAATAGTTTTTTTCACTCATCCCAAATCAACTAAGTTTTTTCTATGATAAACGATGCGATAAGATACTTCATCTGGAACAGCATAAAATGAAACATAAAACTCTAACATAAACAATTATCCAAAATAAATCTTCAATTTTAAATTCCTTTTTGAAGACAAGCTCATTATAAGAGTTTGGTATAATTATATACGTACATGAATACACACTACCATTATATATTATTTCTGTGCATAAATCATTTTATATACATACATTATTATGTTAGTCTTTTACAATACATTATATTATATAATATCATGCTATGATATTTCATATAATTATATAAGTATTATAATATGTTGTATGTGTATCATTATATATGTATAATAGATATCATAACATATTATATTGTGCTATAATAAATATCATTTTATATATATACATATAATTAGAATTTTCATTATATATACATACATATAATAATAAATTTCATCAATAAGTTCAAATGAAATAATTAACAAATTATTTTTGTGCTGGTTCGTGGTTTCGTTGTTTACATTTGTTCGCTGGTTGGCGATAAATAAGGATTGAAGTAAATAGACATAGAGTGAATAAAAAGTTAATTTACCTTTGGATTATGTTTTTATTTAAATCTATCTAATTATATAGTAATAATAATAATATTAATAATAAATGTACTAACATTTAAATTTAATTTTTTAATAGAAACGTAAGTGTTTGTAGACAGTTATCATGATTTGATTTTTTTTATAATTTTCATGATTTTTTTGTTTTTTATTTAATAAAATTAAATATACATTTTTAAATATTAAATTTAAAAATCTGATAAATAAATATCATCATGGCATGAGTACAAGTTTTTTCCAATAATAGGATAATTGCTTGTGTGATCCTCATTTCATTTTGGATTGCTCAAATAATTAATTTTTTTATTAAATAATTATTAATTTAATTTTAATAATTATTTAACTAATAATGAAATAAAATATTGACTATCAATGAAATATTTGACTATCATTTTTAAAAATAAAGTATATGACTGCTGTTGATTTTTCAAGTTATTTAACTGACTTATATATTTTTATTATTATTATAAATATATTATTTTTCATGTTCAGCATAATAATATATGTTGTGTCATAGTTTAACACTTGTCAGGTAGACAGAAAAGTTAGAAAAAATTTTTATACATAGCATAAAATTTCACATAATAATATTACAACAAATTAATTGAAGATGCTAATCGTTGATATAAATATTAATGTAGTAAAGCATATTATAGTCAAGAGCAAGCTTAGCTAGCAGCTAGATAAAATAAATTGATATGATAAAAGAATTGAATGTTTTTTGATTGATTGTCATAGATAACATAAATAAACACTCATCTCATGTTACGGTTATGTGTGATATATTTTATTATCTATTTATAAGCTGTCACACATTTAAGTAATATTCATGTTTAAATTAATAATTTTAAATCTTAGCTAGAATTTTTTCAAAAACTAAATTAAATGAATTAAAAGTAAATTAAAATTTACAAATCATTTGAAGTGAAATTGTTTTTTCCAAATTTTTTACTGACAGTTGGCAGAATGTCAAAAGATACAAAAGATGCCAAGACACCGTCAGAAGCAGCCGGTTTGTTAATGTCCATTGTGAGAGCCTTGTCATCCAGTGCAAATGTTCAACAACGAGATGATGAGAAGATACGACTGGAGAAAGCATTCAAGGAAAGTGATAGAAAGCTGGATAACATGATCACTGACCATCTGACTGACCTGACTTCCATCATTCAAGCTTTCAGTAAAATATCATCTAGGATATCTTGCTCGCAAGAAAAAATAAAACTGGTCAAAGAAAATTTACTTTCCTGTAAGAATTTACTCCATTGTAAGAGAGATGAATTGAGAAGGCTGTGGGTGGAAGGCATCCAGTACAAAACTGTTTCATCAATGATGGATGAAGTTGAAAATATAAAAAACGTTCACGATAAGTTGAGGAAGCACCTGGAATCTAGGCATTACCTCAGTTTCACAACTCTGTTGATGTCATCTTTGGAAATGCTTAATAATGATCTGTCCTGTGTGGAAGGTTTAAAGGATATTAAAAACGAATTGGTTTCGAAAAAGGATGAACTGTATAACAAATTAACTGAAGAATTGGACAATTTAATTTATGTGAAATCAACACTTGGTGTGGTTAAACACTTCCAAAGGCAAGGATCACAAAGACAAAGTAAAAGTAAACCACAACTTAAATCCGGGCTTAAAAGCAAAGAAATAATAGAGGACGATAGTATCATTCAGGATGACAATGCAATAAAACTGTTGATGAATGTTGATACAAAATCAGTTTCTGACTCAACTGAGCCTGTCACAGAAGACATCAACAACTCACCTGATTCAAATATTGTTAATTTTATTTCCATTCTGATAGAGTCATTAGCTAAGTTGAATCGCATGCCTGATGCTGTAGAATACTTGAAGAGAAGAATGGGACCAGGGTTAGTGGCCATCGTTCGACGAGCTTCCCAACAAGTTGCTGATTATGCTTATGTGGAGGGCGAGGAGTTGAGTCAGCTTCAGCAACCTCAGTATCTCCTAGAAATGCTTGAATTGATTTTCAAACAGTTTCACGTCGTATCAAAAGTTCATGAAATTTTGCTGGCCAACATGAGACGCATCAAAAATGTAAAATCTTCTCAGGGTGACTTTAATCTGTACGACATTATGGACTTATGGAGCAAGGTAGTGATTAATTTATTCAGATGATTTTTAATAAATTTGAAATTTTATATTTATTGGTTATAAATCTTAGTTGAAAAGATATTTTTTATTGATGATTAAGACAATGATTGATCTCTTCTTGTCTGCAGATTCAATCAGTCATGCAATCCCTTCTTTGCTCGTATCTTGATGTCGATGAATCAGCTTCACGTCTTTCGTCATCACCAAATGACGTCATCGACACGTCATCATACTTCAGCAAGAAGAAACCAATGAAACCAAAGAAGGGCTTCCTGTTCAAGTTCAACAAGTCATCACATGCCATCTCCATGGACAACTACATGAGAGAACAGAGGCAGGAATGTTATGGATCAGATGATCTGGCTGCAGGCAACAAAATGAGCACATTCAATGGACCACACATCTTTGTCTGTAAGAGATGTCCAGAAAACATCACTGCTATTTACAACAGTCTAAAAAGTTTTCTTGCTGAAGCAGAGAAGACAACAAAAGTGGCCCATGGCTCATTGTCTCTTCAAGCTTACATCAAAGAATTCGTTGAAGGTGTGTTCTTAATAAGAGTCCAAAACGAAGCTGACATGATTATATCACAAGCTGCCAAGTCACCTGAGATGAAGAAGAAACTGGCTGACCAGCACACTCAGAGGGCATTCTCTCTTGTGAAACCGATCCTACAGAGCAGTGTCATTGTTGCAGAGTTGCTTCAGAATACATGCACTCTTATGAGAGACCTGCCTGATTATTCCTCAAAGTTTATGAACCTGATATGCAAATCATTGCAAGAGTACCTGAATGTCTGTCAAGCTTCCTACAAAGAGTGCATCAATCCGGAACTGGAAGAGAAAAAAGTGATGAGTGCTTTGTGGATGAAAGATGATGATATTAGCAGGTTTCTTCGTTCACTTCCAAATTTCCTTGACCTCAAGAAGGTCTCAGTCTCCGATGAAGAACAGACTCAAATATCAGATGAGGATTTACGAGCAATGAATGCCAAAGAATCAACTGTACTTACCAACAACTTGTTAACTGGAAATGAGTCAAATGTTCTTTTTAATGAAATAATTAGTGACACTGCAATCTTGAGAACTCTTGGAAATCTTTGTGAAAGTATGGAATGGTTCTCTAGTCGAATAAAAGATTTTTCCAATGGTTTGGAATCAGGGACTGGTGCAAGATTCATTGTGTCTGCCACTGATAGTGCAAAGCAGATTCCTGATGGCTCATCACATTACCAGGTCAATAAAGACACTTTGGTGGCATTAAAGTCACTCTCCCGTCATTATGAAGATTTATCAGAAGTGTGCTTATTGGTTCTACATTTGGAAGCCAGGGTCCACTGTTTCCATCATTTACTTCGCATTCCCAAATCCGATTATTGTGGAGTGATTGATAAACTGGAACCTGATGAAAATGTGCTACGACTTAATAAAGATCTTATTTCATTGGAAGAAGTCATGTCACAAAGCCTGCAACAGCCAAAATTTAGTTACGTCTTTCAAGGCTTGGGACATCTCATATCAACCATTCTCGTTGGATCGGCCCAGGTGTTGAAGCGTATCAATGAAAATGGGGTGAAAAAAATGTGCAGGAATGTTCACGCAGTGCAGCAGTGCTTATCCAACATCACCGGAAACAGGGAGCCGGATTTGGACCATGCTCGACAATTTTATGAACTTTTGTATTTGAGTCCCGACGAGGTGATGAAGGCATGTTTCGAAAGAGGCAAACAGTTCACAGAGCACGAGTACACGATTTTGTTGCAGCTCAATCACAGGAGCACTACTGGTAGCACTGAAGCCGATTTGAATGTCAGGTTAAAAAAACTTGCTTCAATTTTGGCTGATTCCAGCTTGTAGTGCTGTTTTTTGTTTGGTAGAGATGCTCTGTTCAATGCAAAGTTTCTGATTCACGGCACTGTTTTAGGCTATGAAAATTATTTTTACATAAAGTTGTAAATTTGTTACTTAATTTATTTATTGCATTGTGCCACTGAATAAATTATATTGTCTAATCGTGAAATTGTGTTCATTAATCCGATATTGATATTTGAATTCCATAAAGTTTTGCTTAAATGTGCCTCGCTTTTTTCATTAATCATTTTTTAAAATAAAAATAAAATTGTGTTTGTAATTTGAGATGGATGCATGTTTATTTTCAACTATGCCAATTGGTTTTCATGTCAATTGACGACAAATTTTTGTCTGAAAACAACCTGCTTTTGCATTTTTAGTAACTGGCTTTATTATCATTTTATTATTATTATTATTATATTATCATTTTTATTTATATAATTTCCAATTGTCCATTCATAAAATTTAAGTTACGTATTTACTACGTGCATTTCACCGTTCCTTTCACGTGTTTAAAAGGTTTCCAAAATTTTCGGTTTCTAAAATTTTTACTTTCCAACTTTAATTGTGATTTGTTTGAAAAAACATTCTGCTTGTAATGTTAATGATATCTGGAGACTTGTTGATACTTCAAATTGTTATGTTTGGTTGATTTCTTTGAGGTAAATTCATTGAAAGGTTAAGTTCAAGTTCAAGCGCTCTGAATAAAACAGTTCTAGTTGGATAGAATATATTTTAAGTGCGTTGAATAAATTTAACATTTTTTGTTCTAAATTTAACATTTTTTATTCTAAAATTTGTATATCAAGAGTTTTCTTTTTGAGTTGTCTTCACGCATTATATGGTATATAAAATATAAGAAGTTTGATCAAATGTTCACCACAATGCTACGATATATATGTTATGATATAAGAAATGGTATGATGTGATATGTTATATGTGTTTAATCATTACATTCACAGTTGTTCTGATTTTATATCAAATGCAAGTAGTTATTTTTTTCTCCTGTTCCAACAAATTTATTGACGATGATTTGTTTCGAACCAGAAATACTTGATAATAAATTTTTGTAATCATAAGGTTTTAAATTTTCTTTAAAATGTTCATTTTTAACTATATAAACAATTTAATTGAAAACTGATTTGGAAAAGTATTTTAAAATTTTTGGCTAATTAGACTCTTGATCCAACCAATTAATCAAATCAAATAAAAAATTTGTTTAGATGTATAAATAAATGATTTTTCTTAGATAAAATAACATAAATAAATATTCAAGTGGATAATTAAACAAAGAAAATGTTATTTAGAGAGATCTGATATATTTGCTTGATAATGCTTATCATGTTCAAATGATCGTTGCCTGTTTTGTGCGTGCAATCAATAATTCAGAATATATTAAGATACGTCAAATGCAAAATTACATTGATGTATAATTGTGAATCAGATATATTAGCTAATTCAGACAAGTTTCAAATATTGTTTCCGTTACCAGAGATATATGTTAAGTAAAATTTTCAAACATTTATATAAGTTTATTCAAAATGTCTTCAAAGAAACGATAGTGGTAAATGGCATCTCAGCTTGGTTGCATCAATCATTCAACTTTTTTCTCAGTTTTTTGATAATCTTTAATTTTGTCGAAAATAATTTTCAATGCGTTCATCAAAAAATTACTTCCTTAAAATCACTTTCGCTGAAACTCAATTACACTCAATCAAGTTATGATAGCAATAGTATTACTGATGATATTAATAATAATGATAATAATAAAAGTAATTAATGTTATTTCTCACTGAATCAGGTCTTGTATGTTTAATTATATGGTAGCTTTCTGACATAATACAAAAATATTTGAATCATTGGCACAAAATAACATTAAACGCTTAAACCCAAACCATGTTCAATGTTGAAATCACGAAGCCCCATCAGTTCAGTTGCGTCACTTCTTCTTCCTCAAGATAGGCAACTTTTCACCCAGATGTGATCCTTCAGTGCCGTATATTTCTCTGTTTTCTTGAATGAGTGCGCAACAAGGACACAACATGTGCGTAGCGACGTCTGCAAGCATGTGACCTTCGATGCGTTTGTGCTGTCGAAGACGCCACCTCATCACCGCTCCCACGCCGCAGAATCCCAAGCAGTATCCAATGCCCATTTCGTTCTCTTCCTCGTAGAAGTAGGCAGCGTTCCTGGCCTCCGTGTAGCACGGAAAACAAAATGTCGATATGCACAAGTTGATATCTTCTAAGCATCCAAACAATCTGGTTGTTGTTTTGGAGTTTTCAAGTGTATTTTAATGATTCTTAAGCTCGTCAGCAATTTTATGATAACATTTTATAGTGTTATTGTTCACAGCAAATTTGTATTTTTTGAGCAAATAATTTCATTCAAGCATTTTTAACGCGAAAAAATACAGGATTGGAGTAAAGAAAATTAAAAACAAAATGAATTGACCTAAATGACCACTGCTCTGTTTCCTGTTGCTCAGGATATCTGAGAAGAGTGGTGGTGGCCACCTTTTTTTTATTCGATCCAGCATCAAAGTTGTTCACCGGTTTGGTAGCAGGCTGCGTGGTCACTGGGTTCTTGTTAGCAGCGTTTGAATGAGGAGCATCATCTCTATTTGATGGTTCGTGCTCATCATTTTCGGTGTTGTCCTGCAAATTTTTTTTGACGTTGAAGTTCATGTTCTCATCAGTGTGGCCATCACTGAACGTTGAATAATCTCTGCGAGCCGGAGATGGAGATCTTCTGGAGGGCAGAGTTTTGGGACTGCTTGACCTTTCAATGTGATCATCTGCTACCGAATCTTTCCTATTGTCCATTTTCACTATTTGATCAGATAAGTTTGCTGCTATAGTGATGTTGACAGATTAAGTTAGGCTTATTTGTGTTTGTTAACTAAAATTGTTTAATATTTTTGAAAACAATGTTCAATGGTAGCTTAAAATTATCACTTAAAACGATGAAAAACCTTTAATGGCAGTATAAAAATAAAAAAAGGTACTCAACGACTTACCTTATAGACGAGCAAAATCAAAATATCGTCCCGCAAATTATCAGCAAATGTTCAACAACGCGCATCTTCTACTTGAATGAACAGATGTTCAAAACGAGCATCGTTCTATTTGATGTGCATACACATCGTTTAACTACACGTACAACTGTTCGCACGACTCTACACAGATCTATAAATATTTATACTTGGTTAACAACATCGTGTGTTTAACCTTTGACGAGTTCCCCAGGATGAAATTTTAAATTGTTGGCAACTGTAGATCAAGGTGCGTCTAGCATTATTTTGTTGTCGTAGTTGCGTAGGATTCCGGCAAACTGCTCAATAAGCTTTACTGCAAAGTAAATCGGTACGGTGTATTAGTTGTTCAGCAAAACTAATAAAAAAATTAATATCAGCATACTAATTTTTTAAAGTATATATATATATATATATATATATATATATATATATATATATATATATAAATTATCTGAACAGTCCAACAACATCATTTAAGGAACGTTTTAGGATAAGATGCGCGCGCGGTTCCATTTATTTGCTTTAAAAAGTCAAAGATTGAAAGAAAACATAAAAAGTAAAACGACCAAAATTGGATTACTTTTTTTTATTTACTTATCCACTTCCGTTAAAAGTTAAATGCAATGGAGCATCAGTTTGAAATTATTTCTTTTATTTTAACACCTCATCCTTTGGTCGGCACTTTTTCACTATGGATATATATACATATCCATGATTTTCGCACCTAAAATATTTAAGCATTAACTATTTTTCAAGTTGTTTTTTATCTGATCGTTTCAAAATAAGATTTCAAGACTATCAACTGAGTAAAAAATTGCATTACGAAAAAAATCAAAACTCTTAGGATATTGGCGCAAATATAATATATGAACTTGAAGTTGTGTAGAGTGATGAGGCTTCAATATTTTGAAGTTGTACAACGAGTTGTTAATAAAAAGTAATTAAATAAACGCGATATAAATTGAAGGAATATAAGAAATGTTGTCGGAAAAAGTTCAGGATCCAAATCATAATGTAACACAATTCAGTGAAGAGGGCAATGAATGTAGTTGCGAAAGACAATATTAGACGCATAGAAATTAACTCGCATTATAACACGCATGCACATTGAGAATGGAGGACCGACTGAACTGATGACGGTTGTGATCCAGTGGACGAATGCCTACAAATTACACGCTTCTGATTCTCGCGAATTTTCCTGTTAGTTCACCTAGTCAGTCAGGACAAACTGCATTTTGAAACGTTGAAATATTCTGGAAGAGAGGAAGATATGCTCGTTTATTAAAAGTGTTTGAAGTTTTGGTCGTTTTGTAATAAATTGTGCTTATACCGTTTAAAATATTTCACTGTGATTTGTTTTTATCATTGTTCATTGAATTTTTTTGTAGATAAGTCTTTTAAAAAAGTAAAACAACTCGATGTATTGTTTAGAATTGAAGAAGTTGACTTAAAAATCGCTGAAATGTGTTGTTATGGTAAAAATCAAATTGAATTTATAAAGATTTGTGATGTACATTTAAGAAAATGTTAGAAAAAAATTAAGATAGCACAGGTACGCACGGGTAATTTTTTATAATTCATTAAAATTTTGTAAAATCTTCAAAACACAATATAAAATTTAATAACTTCAAGTAGGTTTTTTTTAAAAGAATTTACGTTGTTATAAACGCATATTAATAAACTTTGTAATTGAAAGATTCGTTGAAATACAATGTAAAAAAAGTTTAAAATTTAGAATAAGATTTAATGTGAAGTTCAGTTGAGTTTGCTTATTTTACTGTTGCTATTTGAAATAAAACATATCAAGGATGTTGTTCAGTGTTGCAATGTATTGGCTGACCTGTCAACAGTTAGGTGAGAAGTTTTTCAATGTTGTTATTTTAGCTTTCAAATGTGAATAGATGTTTGCTTGTGTGAGTGTGTGTGTGTGCGTGTGTGTGTGTGTGTGTGTGTGTGTGTGTGTGTGTGTGTGTGTGTGTGTGTGTGTGTGGTGTACGTGTGTTCGGTTGTGCACGTTTGTGCAGTTGTGTTAAATTATGTTATCGGTTTAAAGCCATGTGTCTTTTAATTCTGTTCACATTGCGTGCCACTTATATATATCGTTATTAGTCATTTTCATGTTTTGTTGTTTTTTCTTGTCCCGATTTTACGTTTGAACAATTTTTGTTTCCTGGGGACTTTCGATTTTAACCGCTAAAAGACAGGCGGCAATATCGGCAGTAAGTGTCGAGTGATGATGAATACCATAATTCGAATGTTTATATGAGATGCCTATCTATATTTCGAATTCTGTGCTGATTTTTATATTACTATTAATAATACGAATAATAATATTATTATTAATATTTATAATATTACCATTATAAGTTATTATAACTATTTATTTTATTTTATTTAGTTTAAATATAATTTTGTACTCCTCGCCGTAATTAATTTAATGGTGGCAGTTTTGATTTAGGAAGATGTCCGTGTTGAAGAAATTGAAGGCCATCGCACGAATGATCTGCTCAGTGAACTCGTTTCAATGCCGTTAAGATTTTGTGCCGGCGAATATGAACTCAAACTTAGTAGTTCTGATTTCATGTTCTCGCATGGATGTCCAAACCTGACCTTTCTGCATAGAATTAGCATACAATTAGTGAACACAAATATATCGTTTAAAATTTCTAAATTTTGATTTTAAAACTGGTAAGATATTAACAAAGAAACAAATATGCAAACAAAGAAACATGTAGAGAAGAAGATTTCTACATTAAAATGTGTGCGAGTTGGTTGCGTGTGTTGGTTGCGTGTGTTGGTTGCTTGCTTGCATGTACGTACGTAGGCATATCTCATAGATGCATATCTATCGCATTCATCTTGCAGACACGTTCCACAGCACAAGCGCTCCTCCTGTTTAATAGACCATGACGAGGGTTAAGATGGGAATAAAGAAGGGTAGTGGACAGAGAAAGAGAGCGAGAGAAGAAAAGAAAAAAGGAAGAAAGAGAACCAGTTGGATGAAATGTGGTGTTAGTTAAAAGGTAATGGTGAAGTTTAGTGAGCCGCGTTTACGTAGTTATGATTAGACGTTTTTACATTCTGTTGTGAAACGGGGAGGCTTGATACTTGATAATTATTTTAGAAAGAAAAAAACTAAGAATGAAAAATAAACTAATTAAAAATTGACAATTATTTTAGAATGTAAAAAACTAATTAAAAATATCAATTGTGGTACAAGAACTTTGCATATAACGCATACAAATGTTGTACATATTTCTTGGTGATGTACAAAAAAATTTGATAATATTCACGTTTGTTAGGTTAGTTAGAATGTGTTACAAATGTAAAAACGATTGTTAGCGATGGAGAACAAACCTGCATCATTGCTTCACTTGCATTGAAAACAGCAGCCGGCACATAAGTGAGCTTACTTAATAGATGATGTTCTAACATTTTCATTCAGTCTGATATTTCCTTAAGGTTACACTAAATCACGTAAAGGCACTAACATACACAACCAAGCGCACACTGACACTAACAAACAAACACACAGGTATATTTTTATTCACTTATGTGTCGTCGTTACGATGTCACATCCCTTTTTTAACTTGCACACATGCGAACTAACTTGCACACATGCGAACCAACTTGCACACATGCGAACCGACTTGCACACATCGCTTCAGAAGGATGAAAATGTTTCAGTACATATTTGGTGAAAATTGTGAACGACCTTAATTTTAATTTTTTTTACTCGTCAATTTTTTTTATTTTTCGGTTTTTCACAGGTACGAATTAACAAAGTTTGACAAAAATTATCAAACAAATCTGCAAAATGAACACTTGTCACGACAAAATTTAAAAAATCATTCAACAGCACCACATATTTTATGACATACATACTGTAGGCCAAAGTGATTGCGGGACTAACCTAACCTACCTCCTAAGTCGGTTGGTTCGGCGTCTATGTTTGTATACATGTATAAAAACTTGGCTTCATACACACAAATAAACATGTAAACATGCTTTCATTATATTTATTATTTTGTAATACACACACACACACACACATATATATATATATATATATACATATATATATATATATATATATATATATATATATATATATATACGTATATATATATATATATATAACACGCACGCACACAAACATCACTGTTTGTAGGTAGTGGTGCACGCGCATACAGCAGCAGGACCTTCAATGTTTCCTCACTCCGTCCATTACATATGCCCATAAATATCAAAAAATAAACAAAAATATACGCGGCACTTTATACATAGACAATCCTAATACAATACATTTCTTTTTGTAAAAACACACGCCCGCGTCTATACTTATACACTCACACGCACGCACGCACGAATACGCACACGGATGATCACACGCCCAATCACTGACACACACACACACCACACACACACACACACACACGCATACATGACGCAAACAAGTATTTTTCACACTGTCTTTTGTGGACTTGTTTGTGGATGCGAATCAGTAAAGTCCCCGGTGTATTCTCTCCTTTGTTGTTCTGCTCCTCCTCCTCTTCTTGCACCCTTCCAGTCCGCCCGCTCAGAAAAAGGAACAATCGCATGTAACAGCTGATTAAAGTATGGATGGCCTCTCATCTGGCACACAATGTTCCTTCCCACTTCCCACTGGTGCGCTCCTCATTGCATGCCAGCCAGACAAACTTCATACAGTCTCAGTGCGAACGCTCCATGGATGTGCATGCATGCTAATGATTTATTTGAATTCATCTCTCAAACAAATGGAACATGATTTAATCTTTCTTAAAAACATTTAAAAGTATGAATATATAAACAAACATGTACTTGAGCTTCCCCGATGTATGTGCTATTGTGTATGTGTGTTTACAGGTATGCATGTATGTATGTAAAAATATGCGTGTACATGTTCGTACGTAAATGTGTGTGAAGGCATAGAGTTCAGCCGTGACCACATAGTTTCACAACGTGAGTACACTTTTGTGCGTTTGTACTGCGCACGAAGCAATCATAATGAGCGTGCACATAAATTGTAATGTTTGGGGAGATGCTCATAACGTGCTGGAGTGCTAACGTTCGTGCACGTACATGCGCACGTCATAAACATGCTTATCTTGCAAACATGCCCACGCATACGTATAAACATACATACATAGATACGTGCAAACACAGTTTCGCACATGCTTAAATCGATTTTAATTTAAATATGCACATAAGTTAAGTTAGTTTGAACACTTTCATACGCATATACGTAAAACTTGTGTACGTAAATTTGCGATGCAATATTTACGCAACACACACGCACGCAGACACGCACGCACGCACTTTGAAACATTCGCAACTTGCACACGATACACAAAAAGTGACCAACTAATACATCATGCACATTACGAATACAATGTATACATATACAACATTTGTATGCGCGTGCACAAAATGCACACAGCAGAAACAGTCCATCCAACATAAACAACGCGCAGGACAAGCGCAATATTATTATATACAAGCGTATTAACGTTGGGTGAATCCTTAAGAAAGATATTATTAGTCGGATTAAAATGTTAGTCAACGCGAATAAATTTTCTGTTTAGAGTTCGTATATATGCATGTAAGCATGCATACATACGCGCGTGTGTGTTTGCATGTGTGTGCGTGTGTTAATTCATATCCGAGTGAATGAATTCACGCGTTATATTAGCAAATGTTTTGTTTATGTGTGAATTGTTTGAGGAAGGTCTGCGTGTGTGCATGCATATCATCTCATCATCGAGCAGTGTATGCGTGCGTGCGTCTACGGGGAAATATTTTTTTCTTGCGTGTGCGTACATGACGCATTTTAAGTTAACGTGTTTATAAAATTCCACGACCATTCATTATTTGTGTGCACATTTTCTTGAACTTGGATGTTGAAGTGTATCTTTTATTCAAAAATAATTATAAATATTGTTTTGTACTGAAGAGTTATGAGCTGCTCTCTCGAGTTATCTGCAGAAGCCCTGTCTATGCGACATTCTGTTTAAAACATCACAGCTGATGCTGACAACATCCTTCAAATCAGCCGCTAATGAGTTCCAAACTTTGAATGTGACAGGCGGGGATCTCTTTAAACTCGAATACAGTCACCGCTGCAATGACAGTTCCAGGCACTTAAGCATTAAAGCATTTATATTTTAAATTAAATTTTTTATATAATTTTTCATAATTATTTTTATCACACGAACATTTCAGCGTCGTCAACAACCTGGACAGAATGGTGGACGTACGAAGGCGGCATCTCAGGTGGGTCATCACTCACTTCTTCACACTTTTACATTCAACTCAACTGTTCATTTACTTTTTACACCGAGAAAAATTCAATATTTGTTTGAAATAAAAACGGCTCTAAGTACTTAATTTAACAAAATCCAAAATTTGTTCTACCTTGCAAAAACTTCCTAATGAAAATTATTCCAATAGAAAAATATGGAAAAATTTGTGATTTTTATTTTCCTACTTAGCTGCTAAATGACCTGTCCTGGTTCCGAGTATTTCGCGCGCACTTCACATAAAAATGTGGCGTTCGCAGCTGGTCAGCACATGTGGCCGCATGTGGCTGCTTGTGGTTGGTGGCTGGTGCCGTCTTGTTTGACATTATCGTTGTTGGATGTTTGACGATTATTTCTGCAAATTATTTCAACCTGAAGCCTAATAATTCAACATTTAACTTCGTTTTTCACTGGTGGGCGTTTTTTTACGAAGATACATGAATGACGAATTTATGAAAAATTTTTTGTCTAGGTAGAGTTATGAATACTGATATGATATGATTTGATACAGATTTCTAAATCTGAAATTAAATTTTCATCAGATTAAATCATGTTATAAGTTTAAGTTTTTGTACCAAGTTAAAAAAAAGACTGCATTGGATTGGAAGATTCAGTATTGAAATTAAAGTTACAGTAAGAACACATCGAGAAAATAATACATGGCAACCACTATAGCATCATGTGATCACTGAAACGATCTCAACCAGTATCATCATTGTCCATTTCACATTTCATTTTCATATTCTCAACGTCTCTCTCTCTCTCTCTCTCTCTCCTCTCTCTCTCTCTCTGTCTATCTGTCTCTGTCTTTTGTTTTTTCACCCTTTTCTAATTTTTCATTTATTTTATTTTCAATTATAGCATCATGTGATCACTGAAACGATCTCAACCAGTATCATCATTGTCCATTTCACATTTCATTTTCATATTCTCAACGTCTCTCTCTCTCTCCTCACTCTCTCTCTCTCTGTCTATCTGTCTCTGTCTTTTGTTTTTTCACCCTTTTCTAATTTTTCATTTTCTAACTGTTCATCATGACCGCTGTGCTCATTCGACATGATGACGTCACGGCTATCAATTCATGTGACTTCCGGCAAGTAACAAGACAATGCTTTTAAAGTTGTTGTAAATATTTGCGCACTGCTGTTGCTGCGAGGGTGTTGCTGCGTTGATGTTGTTGTGTTGCCTTTTTGTTATTGTTGTTGTCAGCGGTGTTGTTTTTGCAGTTTCTTCGAATGAATAATGCAACATCAATCAAGTTTTCAACGACTTGATGGAGAATAACAACTTCCTGAAATGTGGTATGCCCTGCCTGGTTGGTGTGTTTCATGTTTCAATAGCTGCCTCATCCCCTGGACGTTGTGGACTGTGGGGGCATTTGCAGTGGGTTTTTCTGGTAATGTCACTCACGGTCATAAAATTTTTCGTTTGTTTTTAAAATCTATCTATCAGTTTCTTCAGAGGTCATATGTAGTTTAGAAAATTTTTCCTTTAAAAATAATCACGGAAGCCTAGGATCCCATAAACAACGTACTTTTGAGTTTATCATACTACTAATTCATAATATACACACACTCATAAGAACACATACACAAGGCTATAGACGCACGCACGCACACGCAAGAACACATACACAAGCGTATAAACACACGCATACACACAAGCGAACAATTGCTCATATAAGGAGCAGAAACTTCGTGAAAGACCTGAACAGATGCACGAGCCTCATCGCTCATTTGCTGACTTGCACCACGCCACTATGAGCAACATTAAACCAACAAATTACCTTGATTTGGCCGGGGTCACAACAAATACGTACTCTCACTCTTATTGGCTTATTAAACTGATTATCATTATCAAGCTCGTCGTCATCATTGTCGTCTTCTTCATCTTTTTCATCGTCTTCGCCATCTTCATCGTCATCATTTTGTTCGTTTTTTATCGTTCCTTTTGTGTCTGAGCTTCGTTCCAGTGTTCTTGCAGCTCGTTATTGCAGCAATTGCTGGTCGTTACAATGGACTGCCTTCGTTAAAGTCGTCATTAACATAATCGTACTAATTTGAAAACCATGAGAACAATCATCATAAAATATCAAAAAATATAACGGATGACAGGATAGTTACTGCTAATGTAATGTCGTGTTCATTTGGTTTTAATGTAATTTTATATTTACAACGCAACTGAACTTTATCGGTTCAACTATTCTTTCCAAAATGTACTTTAATGTCACAATTTAAATTTTAGTATAAGAAAACATTAATTTTAAAATCAGTATGTCTGAAATTGGTTCGAATTCCAGAACTTTTCATTTAGTAGATCTCATTTAAACACAATTATTTTTCCTTCACAAGACTCAACAAAAATTCAGTTGATTTGTTTCGCAAATATATTATTATTATTTCAGCCTTCCTTATGTAAAAATGTTTGAAAAACTGAGTATTCAAATTGTTATTCTTTCCTACGTTTCGCATGACGTTTGCAGCAGTGACACTGTCAACATTATATTTTACCATTATATCTTACCTTTATATTTTACCTTATTTCATCAGTATTACCATTAATTTTTTGAACAAATAAATGACACCAAACATAAACTACTATCATCATCATCATCATTACCATCACCACCAAGGACCAGAATATTGGGGCATAGTGAATCCTGAATGGATATTGTGTGGACGGGGCAAGAAGCAATCGCCAATCAACATCGAGTTGGACCTGCTCCTCTTCGACCCCAAGCTAGATCAACCAATCTACATAGATGACAGTCAGGTTGGCCTCGGAGATATTATTTTAGTTTATTCATTTTTATGTCATTGTTTTCCTTTCAAATTCATTTTATTGTCATAATTAAATTCTTTTATTGATTTCCGGTAAAATTTTTCAAAACTATAGTAAGTTAAGCTAGGAGCAGAGGTTTATCAAATGTATGATCGCATTTTAAAAAATAAAAAAAATTGTTAACTAATTAATTAACGAATTTTAGTCTAATTATGGATAATTATTAAACAAAAATAAAATTATTGATTCAGCTTTTATAAAATTTCAATAAGTATGTATAACGGTACTGTACGTACGAACAATTGTGCGTTTTGACAAATTTGACGAGGGGGGCGAAGATTTAGAAAAAAGTTTGACAGCCGGGGAGAATTTTCAAAAAAGTGGATGACCTGACCGGGTGGGAGAATTTCACAACAAAATCGATAACCGAGGGGGGGGGGAATTCACACAAAACTTGGTGACTG